ATTACTATAATATGTAAAGTGAAACTGCACTTTGTGACTACTTTGACCAATGGAGCCAACCTCCAAGTGGAATGTACAAAAGCAACAAATGATCCGTACCAAAACCGATATATATTACAGATGTCATAACAATAACAAGTGATCGCGCGACGAATCCTGTGAATGGGTGTAAAAATCAAAAATCACTCAAATGACACGATTGAATCATACGACTGATTAGGTCTTTTGCGATGCGCAGCCAGGGGAAGTCGCCTTTTTTTTTTAAGGATGGCGGCGGCCATAAAAACTTACTACGGTGCTAAAACTACTAGGTTATTGCTAGAATGACTTGCTGTCACAATAATGACTGAATGTTCAAGTTAAAAATGAATAATCTATTTTTGGTCAAGGTACTACTTCATTTGCAAAAAATGGTATACCAGGGTTTGTACAAATCCACACTAAAAACAAGTTTCTTTCTTTTGTTTCCTCCTTGGTCGAAAGTCCAGGGCTGTAAGAATTCTTCAAAGTTACTGCTGGCTACCGCGCACTAAAGTTAGTGAAGTGCAGTGCAGTGCACCATAACCAACTTGTACAATTAAATGGTACGTGGTACATATGTTTTAGCATAGATACGTACCAATCCTTTAAGTGTAGTACTGATGGTCACAGGCTATTCATTCCAGTACCGAATGACCCTGGAGAAGCCTCTTAATGCTGACCCCTCAACACAGTACATGGTCATAGTGTCTTATCACTGATACACTGTATCACTGTGTTGAGTATGCAAGGGAAACTTCCAGCAGCAGTAGCTTTATCACACACTTTCACCTACTAATCTAAACACCCTTATCACCATGCCCCAACACCACCACCATGTTGTCCATATCTGGTGCTAAGTCTTTAGAGTAGTATGCTGTATGGTTTGCATGTCTATCATTAGACTACACTGCCTAAATGCTCTATTGCATGCATGATTTCTTCATGGGAACCTTAATGTTCCCTTGGTGCAATCTTCTTTAAATTAATGATGCCATCATTACTAGTAGCTACTAGGTAGTACTAGGCCAACGTAGAATTTGTACAAGACCCGCTGAGNGTAGGTAGGAATGGTATGCTCTTCCATTCCGAGGGAGCATCGTATGTACGTATGCTTCCCTTTTAGTACGTGCGTACATATACTTTCGATACTGTACGTACGTATCCGTTGCAGCGCGCGCGTTGGTTCCGGAGGGCCCAGGGGAAGTCGCCGTTTTTTTTAAAGGATGGCGACGGCCATAAAAACTTACTACGGTGCAAAAACTACTAGTACAGTAGTAGGTTATTGCTAGAATGACTTGCTGTCACAATAATGACTGAATGTTTAAGTTAAAAATGAATAATCTATTTTTGGTCAAGGTACTACTTTATTTGCAAAAAATGGTATACCAGGGTTTGTACAAATCCACACTAAAAACAAGTTTCTTTCTTTTGTTTCCTCGGTAAGTCCAGGGCTCCTGCTGTAAGAATTCTTCAAAGTTACTGGCTACTACCGCGCACTAAAGTTAGTGAAGTGCAGTGCAGTGCACCATAGCCAACTTGTACGATTAAATGGTACGTGGTACATATGTTTTAGCATAGGTACGTACCAATCCTATAAGTGTACTGATGGTCACAGGCTATTCATTCACAGGCTATTCATTCCAGTACCGAATGACCCTGGAGAAGCCTCTTAATGCTGACCCCTCAACACAGTAGTACACGGTCATAGTGTCTTATCACTGATACACTGTATCACTGTGTTGAGTATGCAAGGGAAACTTCCAGCAGCAGTTGCTTTATCACACACTTTCACCTACTAATCTAAACACCCTTATCACCATGCCCCAGCACCACCATGTTGTCCATATCTGCTAAGTCTTTAGAGTAGTAGTATGCTGTATGGTTTGCATGCCTATCATTAGACTACACTGCCTAAATGCTCTATTGCATGCATGATTTCTTCATGGGAACCTTAATGTTCTCTTGGTGCAATCTTCTTTAAATTAATGATGCCATCATTACTAGTAGCTACTAGGTAGTACTAGGCCAACGTAGAATTTGTACAAGACCCGCTGAGGGATGCGCCAGCAGGCCAGAAGCTGTTCAGCATCTAACAAATGAACYGAAGACAACTGGCCAGATCAAATCAAGGATTACAAGGAACTGGAAGCTACACTAGTATGTGGTGGCTGCAAAGCTGACATTGTTGATTCATGCCACCATGGACGAGATGATGAAGGACCTCATGAAGGAGCGGAGAGATATGGGACTAGTAGTAGAGACAAGGCTCTTTAGGTGTGCTACTAGTAGTAGAAACACCAAGCAGACACTATCTGTGTTCCAGCAGTCAGTAGCAAAAGCAATGAAGAACAAGGCAATGAAGAAGAAGGAGGCTGAAGACAACACAGCTGTCATCAAGGGGAACAGGAAGGGGTGTATTGATTGGCAACTCAATTGCAAAGAAAAGATCCAGGACAAGATCAAGTTTGATATCRAGAAGCTTGAACCTTTGCCTTGTCCTGTTTGCAACAACATATCTACCATGGATACTGACAAGCTGGAGGATGTCAGGGTGGTGAACAAGGCAAGAAGGCTCAAGGAGTGCCTGGCAGCTAAGAAAGCGTTTGACMAGGGGAAGACTTAGATAAACCCCAGGCATGCCCAGGATGATGATGTTTGGTGTGCATGATACTGCTACAAGAAGATCACTTGTAACTTAGATCTGCCAGCCTCTCTATACATACTAGCTTGCTCAAGATTGTAAAGTTTCCACTCCCTCAAAGTGCTCTTAGATATGGCACTAATCATGTCTAGGATCTTGTACTCAATGGATCCCCACAGTTAGAGTGTACTAAATTTAGAATTTGCATCAGTTAGTATTGTGAAGAATGAAGGACAACAAGCTATAACTGGATCTTAAACAGGGAATCTAGTTTTAACTGTTTTCTTTTTCACTAATCAGTAGGGGGGATCAGGGAATCTAATTTTTACTCTTAAAATTGAAATCAACATGGTTCCAGAKTGAGTTTATTGTTTATTCTCATTCATTTGCTAGTATCTACTTCTGAGTTATCCAGAAACACTCAAGGGAGAGCCCAGCAGACATTTTGTTAAACAATGGATGCTAAATTAGATAGACTGACAGACCAAAAACTTATCACACAAAACAAAATTTATTAGTTTTCAGTTYGGTCAAATTAGACGTTCTAAATGCAATAATATTTATGATGGAACCCATGAACGATAGTAGTATTGTGTATGATTAAGCTCTTTTTTAATCATATATCACATTGAAGTTAAGGTTCCAAATTTCCTAAAAGACTGTGATCAATTGTGATCAAGCCGGCATTCCTCACAGTCTCTGTTGAAATTTTGATTCCCTTTATTAAAGAAATGATAAGTGTACTAAATGCTAAATCGGGCCTGTTAGCAATTCTATTAACGGGAATCACCCAATAATTCGTTTTTATGTCATTCTCCCCTTCCCCCCCCCCCCCCCTCACTCTGGATTGGTTTTGTTTACGTTTGTGCCCCGGCCGGGTGCACTCCTCGAATTCTTGCGATTCCACGGCTGTATTTGGATCTGTTCTGATCCTGCTGCGGAGCACGACCTCGGCGGCTCGTGTTTGTTCTGCGGTAGTAGTACCAAACTATGTACGCACCACACCGAATGCATCCTGCATTCTCTCCTCCCTCCCTCTTTGTTCGTGCGATGCGATCCAGGACGAATCATCCGTTCTTTCGTTTGGAAGGAATRCAACGGCGGTGCAACGGATCTGCACACAGATACACACATGCACAAACACATACATGCATGCGGAGCTGGTTGGCGTCGTGTTGGCGATTCGTTGGATCGCAGCATTGCGTGCACTGTCCCTGCATGTCGCGTCATGCTTTGCCKCGCTCATCGAAACACACGACATACACATAGCGGCACACCATGAACCCGGTACGGTAGCGTCGCTGCCCTCCGATCGAACGGCAGCGATCCCCCGCGCGGCCGGGGCCTCCGCCCGTTTTCTCTCTCTCTCTCTCTCGCTTGCGCCAGAATTGCCACACCACCACCGCTCTGCCCACACAAAACACCGAACGATTGGTTCCGCTCGGTGCATTCCAAACGACGAAAGCGCTCTCTACCGGCTCGTCGGTGTCTGCCAAGCGCCGCTGCTCACACACACACACACACACACACACACACACACACACAACCGGTCCGAGAACGATGGAGGCCCGCGCGGTCCGCCCCGGACCGATCCGGAGCCGGTGCCGCAGGCGGTTCCACTCGAGGTTCGGGAGCCAGGGGAAAATTCCGCTGCGGAAGGAAGCATCCCCGAGGGCCACCGCTGCTTCCGATAAATGGGAGCCTCCCCCGCCGGGAGAAGCGATGGAAGGAGCGAAAGCGAAAGCACCAAGCAGGAAGCCCGCCCCCCCGTGCCATCCTCTCCCCACCGGGGGGTCCTTGGAGAACGCTCCCGCACCCTCCACGGGRAAATGTTCGGGAAGGAAGTGCGGCACCGAAACCGAGCGGCGAATTGCGCAGCTGCAGCGGGCGGGCCTCCGCATCTCACCGGCACCGGGCTCGGCTTCGCGTCCGCGTTCGTTCCCATATTCCCCTCCCCGAGCGAAACCCAAAACGAGCGCGTACGGAAAACCGCTCGGGCCGGCAAGAGACGGGAAGAGCGAGAACCAGAGAGGTGGCGGCGCACCCGTCGCTACGGGAACCGTGGATCGGATCCGTTTACCCAAACGAGTTGGCCCCTGGCCCGGGAAGCGAGATACCGAAGCAAGGCCTTCAAATRCCGCGTCGGCAACGGCMACAGAAACCTCCGTTYKCACACTCGATGRCAATCCTCCMGGAGATGGCAGAGGAGCAGCCAACACCAAACAATCCTTCTTCGCCAGGGGGGCCGGGGAAGGTGCCTGGGTTGTCGCCGTCAGAGGGATGCGCCCGACAGCGAAAGATCCCCTTTGTGGTTCTGCTGCCGCTGCTCGTTGGTCACCCGGTGGGCCCCTCCGAGGCCCGGGCTCTCCGGATCCTAGYGTTGCCACTTGCCACCACCACCCGAACAATCATCCCGACGACGAGCGCGACGACGACGATTCCTGTCWTCGTTCACCGGCATCGTTGCCCGAGGTGATTCGACGGATGCCGATCGACCCCTCGGAGCCGAGCAACTGCCCACCACGGGAKCACCGCGAGCGGAGGAGCCCCACCCGAGCCAGGCTCCACCGGAACCATAACGCTGGCGCTGGCGCCGGCGCCGGCGTTCGGTCCATGTTGCCACGGTTGGGCCCGCGAGGCTTTTTCGCGAAGCCCAGGCACCCACTCCCGCACCATTCTACTACCAGGGGAGTCCTGGCCGATCTYTGAGGCGGGAAGAAACCAACCACCCTTGACTCACGGGCAATCTGGGCAACACGCCGAAGCCGTGGCGGTGTGCCACCCAGACCCCCACCGTGAAACGAAGGAAAAACAAAAACAAAAACAAAAACAGAAACAGAGACGAAGGAAGAAAAATCCAAAATCCAAAATTCCATCCGGTGCTTCGGAGTTCAAAAGATCGAAGATCTGCGTGCCAAGAGGAGCAGAAGATCCAAAATGCGCAAGACTGTTCGAAACCGTAACTCTAATGTAGTAGAGGTATCGATGTGTACCGTATCAAGTACTGGTACGTACGCAGAGCTGTTWTTGGCTTGCTCTTATCAGTGTTCATGGTAAATAGAGTATKTTACTACCCTATTAACGTACCTTATTTGTAGGATGCAAGTTTCTAGTTTTACGAAAATTGAGTGTACTCGAACGAATCTTATCTACGGTACCGTACAGAGAGGSTACGTAACCYACCACATACAACTGGTATGTCCTCTTGTACGGAATCGTACGGTAGGGTACGTACGAGTAGTACTGTAAGGTAAGGKAAAAAATAGGGAAAGCAAAACGACAACGAATCCTTATCATAGCGCGTTGATAGTTCTGACTGACATGCAAAGAGAAATAGCCCACCCTATTTCACATCCAAATCTATCGGGAGTTTGGTAAATTAGAGCACCGATCGACTAGCTTGGAAAGTGGCGGTCGAACGTGAGAAAGAATGGGTTCGCGGCTATAGGCAACACAGCAAAAAGCAACGCTCAGACGCATCACTTCACTTCACTTTGACGTCGAGACAGAGACGCCGTGCCATACAACCGGACTTTGTGCTCGTTTATGGAACTGGAATMCTTCCATGGATCGGTGTCAGCAGCACACGAATGATGGCAACGATTGTGGTCCCTCCGAGGGAAAGGCGAACAACGAGGGTTCGGTCCGTACAGCTTCCCAGTGCCACGGACACATATTGCGGTGGGTGTGCCTCTCAGGGAGTGGAGGGAAGCAATGGTTGGATGCCRCCGAGAAGCAGAACGARAGCAGCATCACCACCTGTTTTCGAGGGCAGAGCAATAGAACCATCGGCTTGGACACTTCCGTGGGGGAGCAATGGCTCCACGTTCGAACCTCGGTCCGGGATTCTYTAAGCGCTGACACTACAGATCTGGAAAGTGTGARCAACAATGATAGAAACAGGGATGGCAGCGRGATACCAATGTCCAATCATGTGCCTTCTCCACCTCGGTCTCCATCACAACAATTCCAATCGCAAACCGAAAAAACCACGCAAGAATCATCGCAGCTGTCGCTGCTGGCCTACCTTAACCAGCCCGAATCACAAGAAGAATCACGGTCGCAAATGCAAACAGAACAAGAGCCACCATCGCTGCCTATCCTCGATGTGTTACCAAACAGGGAACGACGGAACAARACCAGCCACTGTCACCACCACCAGGGAGGGAATGACCTTCTATCATCGCATGCCTTTTTGTGCCTGGAGCCAGTTTTCATTCCGGTAGGTGTCAACCAAGAGCGAGTGCTTTGGACCGTCAAGGATACSAGGTCACCTCTTGCCGAGGAGCCACAGAGCAGTGAACTTGAAGAATACGCTGTGGAGCTCTGGAGGTCGAATCAGGCGTCCCCCTTTTGGGACGAAACCGCGGGAGAGACACAAGCACAGATGCAAGCGACACACGTTCCATTGCCGAGGCGGCGATTGATAGCTTTGTCCCACGGGGATGCGATTCGGATCCGAGTTCAAACCACTACCACCACCCACACATCAAAACGCACGGCAGGTTCCAGCGAAGAAGKTCATTCCCCGTTGCAATCAATGCCAACATCACTCGCCGATCGATCTCCTTTGGCGCAAGATCTCGCCACCATCACGGTGCAATATTTTGAGTCCGAGGCCAAAGCAAAAGAAACAAGTCCAGCGACTACAAGAATATCTGGATTGGCAGCCATCGAAGCTGAGGCAAGCCCAAACCAGAGGCAAGGGGGATCAACATCGGCACCAGCCGGAGTCTTGACGGGGACAGCAAAAAATGATCAACACCAAACGAAAGCATCCAAAGCGGCGACGAGATTTGAAGACCAACCGAACACCTTTTGTGGGACCACAGCTGGAACGCCAACCACCAATACAGCTGCAAATCCTATGAACAATACGGTACGCTCTGCATCTCCTCGGCAGTGTCAACAGCGGACTGCATCCACAGCCGATTGTGGCACCAGCGTTGCCGTCGACAGTACGGTCAATCCGCTKCAGCAATCCCTCCGATCGACGCGTATCGAACTCCTGACCCGACCCCTTGCAACCGAGAGAAGCAAGAATGGGAACGAGAACGAGAACGATAGAGCGCAGACAGCTGATGTCATTGGCGATGGAAGTCAACCCAACCGTGATCCAGGGACAGGTGTCAGGAGTCTAATACAAGTGGACAAAAGGTCCGAAAGCCAAAAYGAAGCCCGAAAACATCAGGGACCACCACGAGAAGACAAAACACATTCCAATGGCACCAACACGAGCCATAGCCTAAACGGTCGTAACTACCAGCCGGCAATCAGGAACAAACCAGCAATATCCACGAATGATGTGGCTCCTGCCCCCCTTCATCCTCGATCTGCATCCCTGACAGGGGCCCCGCTGCCGCTGCCGTCTCTGCCTTTTGACGTGGTCGTAGCTGCTGCAGACCCACCCTGTGAGCAACTTACACAAGACGATGCATTTTTATTGCAGCCACGGTCACAGACTTCGTTTCTCGGTGGTGTCATTCAACTGAAGAAAAACAGAGACGAAGGCACAGACATAGACAAAGAAAAACCCATTGAGGGACGTGTGCCGGATGTTGCTGCTACATGTGTAGTTAAAAACGGAATCGAAAATTGTGCGGATGYTCCTTGTACWACCTCTGTGGCAACCGTCAAAAGAGAAGGCGCAGACGCTTCGTTGGACGGGAGTATGTGTACCCAACCAAGCAAGACAGGAGGTGCTCCCAAGGCGAGCGATTGCAATGATGCAAACAAGAGTCCTCCATCCAATGGMTTGGCCCCCAGATTCTTCCATGATGAATGKGAAGATASAGATGCAACCGTTAGCAATGCTATCAGTACAAGGATGGCAAATCGGTCAGTATGTAGTAAATGCAACGATAAAAACCCTTCACACAATTCTTCCTTCGGTGAAAAGATTTCTAATGCTAACGCTGAACTCAKGGAAAAAGACCCCAACAATGACGATGGTCTTGCTTGTGAATTTGAAAATGATGATGATGACGACGACGACGCCACTATTCCAATCTCAGTTGCTCCGCCGCTAGGCTATCCGGATACCGAAGCCAAGGAAGTGACAGTCATRAACAACCCGCATACACGGTCCCGCCATTCTTCGACCTTCCCACTGTTGACACAACCACCAGAATCCCCAAAGAGAACAGAGGAGTGCGGTCAGAACAAAGCCTGCAATCGCGATGGCGCCACCGGCATGCCCAAGGCCTACTCCTACACAGTCGARAATCGAACGAAGAGCAGTATCGAGGAGTCAACACAACCGTGCTTCAAAGCGGAACAGATAYCCGAATTGAAAGAAAGCTGTTCCATATATCCCTCGGATAGTTTGAACCCATCAGTTCATGATCCGAGACAAGGCCTCGATACCAACAAGAAAGAGGATGAAGAAGAATCCGAGGGAAGTGASAATGACGCGCAAAGGAGCCAGCYTTTGCTCTCTGTGGACAGTGATAAGGATRATTTTGCAGGAGAGGGATACAAGAGCGAGTCKTTAGAAGTAGGATGTGGAACAAAATTGAATTGTAACAATGTCGACGTAAGAAATTCACCCAAAGATTACAGTAGAGGGGCTAAACAAAACAGTGTGGATCGAGGTCCAATGCGCGATACGATGAACGAAACCGATGACGAAACTGACTTTGGCAGCACGGGTGCGAATATAGCGATGTCGACCGGTGGAAGCATGAGTCCGAGCCTAGTACGTGACACCGGTGAAAGCATCCTGGATCATCATCATCTCGAAGATTATTCCTGCGAGATGGGGAACACGAGTGAGAATCAGAATCCGACAGAAGACGATTTGATTGACCCAATCGACCCCAAGCCAACTGAAGACGACCCCAAGCCAACTGAAGACAATATTGAAATAAGTTCATGCTTGAGTGGTAGCACTATGCTAGAAAAAGAAATGAAAGGACTGCCAAAGAGTCATAGCAGTAAGGTCTTCAAGGCTGATAGAGAAGACAMCAGTATGATTCGTGTTGACTCCAAGGACCAATATAAAGCAATCGGAGAGCATTCGATTGACCCAAAAATAGCGGAGGTTGAGAGTAAAAAGAGTCCCAGCAACTCCGAAATCGAGGCGCCAAAGAAAGAACTAACTAGTTTGGAAAAACATATTTGCAACGATGGCAGACATCGTTCGATCGGCGGAAAAGTGGACGAAGCAGCATCAGGAGATGCAAAAAAAACGCACAACGAAAAAATCAATCGCGGTCCGACAAGGAAACGAAAGTCCTTAGCGGTCGAAAAGAGAACAGAATCGATAGRAACACTTCCTGATACGAATACCAAAGGGCCGAAGACGCGACGCACACGCAACCGTGTGTCTCCCAGCGACGATATTTCCGCTGTATGTAGAGAYGCAGATGCTGTGTACGAGAAACGATTCATGAAAGCAATCGAGCGCGGGGTTGTTTCTCTCGTGATGTCCGGTGTCGAACCCAAGAATATGGCTTGCGTCACCAGTTTTTGTACCATGAAATCATTGAACAACGAGGCTGTAAAAGTGAACGTGAGCTCCACAATTGATTCAGACACAACGATGTGCGTGATGCCGACTGCATCGAACAACAAGTATGAAGCTGCCGCTCGCACACTGAAAGCTCTGGAATGTTCACTGCTAGGTGTACCGATCGTTCCTCTGAAATGGATCAGAGACTGTGTGAAGGCTGGAGGCATTCCCGGGATTCCTGACCAGTACATACGAACGCTGCCATCAACAKTGGGAACAAGATCGATAAAAATAACCACTGGCTATGGGGTGGCACGTTTAGCGGCCATGCGATTGGATGATCCGAAGAGCAATAGGGAACTTCTTTTCCAGAACACCTACGTTTTTTTGTGCGGAGTGTATACGAACGACAAGAAGAAAAGCATCGTGAAGTTGCTTGAACAAGGCTGCGCGATCATGGTCTCCACTTCCAGGGAGGCATGTTTGCGTCTAAAATCCCTCATGGCAGAATCTTTGACKCAGCAACTGCCAGAGCAATCCAATAGGAAAAAGTTTGTTCTATTGTTTGGAGACAGAGGGAAAGCGGTGCCCAAGTCTCTGTACAAGGCCACCAAGGAAGCATTRATGGGTATTGTCGACAACAACAAGCAATCACCATTAGCACGGGCTATTTACGTGGTTGACTCAAATTGGGTGAGTCTTTCGATTGCGTGTGCCAAAATGCTCGCACCAACCAACTTCCGACCAAAMGATGGCGTTGATTTGTGGCATATTTGCAAAGATCTGCCTGAATAAAGCAGTAGCGAGCCTRATGTTCAAAAATTTCCATGGCAATGGGATTGGACCGATAATATTCAAATATAAATATGCTATAATGATTGCCTTCGTCTCCAGTTATCTTAGTACCCCGAATTTCATCCACATTGAGGTCAGCATARTCAAGAAATGAATTGTGGACAGAATTGATTCTATTTAGGTTTTGTGATTCGATGTGATTGAGTYTGTTGTCAAAATTCAATAGGTAGGAGAAAATACCTCTGACAGTCTTTGCGACTTTCAAACAAGTCCAACCAATTTGGGTTGGCAGCCTAAAGTTGTCGTAAGTTCTGTCTAGTTATGGCAAAAAAAGGGCAACATGGATTACGACGAGTAATAGCCCGAACTACTTGTGACATCGCTGTCGTCTCTCCTAACTGATTCGTACGTTCCAGTCATTACGGAGGATGGTTTGGTGCGCCGATGCTGGTTATTACGCTTACGTTTGTCGTGCAGGAGCTCCCGCACCATATCTGACAAAATTTCAACCCGTGCGTTGAGCTCCATTAGCTGCCCATCGACGATAGTTCYTCCGTAGTCACACAATTCATCATCCTCCCTGACACAGCCGTTATCTTCGGTACGGCGTCGTGTGTCTCGCATTGTCTTCTTTCTCACAGTCCGCTGTTGTTTCGTTTTTGCCTCGAACCCAGACACGAGAGCAATCAAAATGGCAATCACCGAAGCCACAACCTGAAACAAAATAGTCCCCGCCATATCTTTAATGGTCAACGCTCTGATTTCCTCTTCCTCTTCCTCAACCAAAGTACTTACCGCCCCTCCAGCACTCGCCCCTGCGACACTCGTGCCTCCCTTGAGGAAGCGCCGGCTGAAGCCTGGAGCATTTMCATACCGCTCAAGGAAACGGCGGCCAAGCCCGGGAAGTTCACTATCCGAAAGTTCACTATCCGACTCTGGGCAGTGCCCTTCGTCAGCAAAGTATCTGSTGTGCTCCTCCCACAATTCATCGAGGATTCCTTCTCCATCCATTTCTTTTATGTAATAGTTGAACATCTCGTTGACAAGATCGGTACAAAGAATTCCTGGGTCATGTCTGGTTGCAAAAGCGTCCTTCAAGGGCTGGATTTCCCGACCTTGCCTCTCGATTGTGCATTTTGGATTCGCCTCGGCCTGTTTACGTGATACCATGAAGTCTTGCTTGTAGGCAATCAGGATTTCGCAGTCTCCCCTGTTCAGGGAATCGTATAGGTCATYACTAGGGACAGGTACCAACAAGGGGATGACCTCAGGGTATTTGCGCCTTAGATGATCTTCTGCAAATGATCCGACCTGGACACATAGGGGAAAATCGTGTTHGACGACATCAAGAATTGTTTCGACTTTCGGTTCGGCGACTTCTCGTCCGACCAAGAGCGAGGCCAAATTCGCCGTGTAGGCAGCTGGGGAAATAGGAATCAATCAAAATATAGCAGACGATCGTTAACAGTCKKCCGATCAAACAATGGATCAATCCGATCGTCTCATTCAGCAAATATCTGGCAAGCTACACAACACKGYACGACACCTGGGCRCAGTATCGCAATGTATAAMCATTATTTGTAGTATGGTTCTACCGGTACGTACCAGTGATGAGCATGGCCCAAAACGCAKAGGAGGTACCAAARAATCGACCTGCTAGCGTCGTGGGCTCGTAACTGTAGTTGCCGGTGAAGTTGATAAAGCTCAAGTACAAATTATCCATGAGCCAGACCCGGAAAGATTTCTCTTCGCGTCCCTTTGCTCCGATACTCTCGATGATTTGGTGGACAAAGGCCGAGAAGATGACGGTACC